CCTGTTAAATCCATGAACGAAAAGATGATTAGAAAGATATATGGTTATTCTACGGCAGAAGATACCTAAGGATCTTGACCTATATAGGTTAACTCCACTCGATCCCCTGCTCCAAAGGCGGATCTAGGATTTGAAGTTTATCGATTCCTAAAGTGACCTCATTTAATGTACAATATTAATTGGACACGTAGTCAATTATTTATAGATATCTAGTAGATCTTGGCAAAAGATACTGCTTTTCGGGAACCCGTAGGTTTATTACCCTGATCTGCCACTGCCCCACCCCGTCACCACTATAGAAAGGTGAATACCAACTCTCCAGGCGAAAATAATTATAAAAATAAGCAACTACACTATCAACTCAAATCCTTCATAGTGATCATAATAAAAGGAAAAGAGAGAATGGGGAGATGCGGAGTTAAAACTTGCAAAAAGAATTCTGGAACTGAAGAAACAATACCTCAACAGGGGTCTAGGCGGCTTCAATTTATCAATACCATCTTGAGTAATGCCATCTGTAATAAATCTGTTGCTGTTTACTTCCGGTAAGGAGTCCGCAAGTTCTTTAAGGCCCTGTAACAAGATTAGTGAAGTCAAATGCTAGTGAAATTACAAAGGTTCCTGATATTCACTGAGCGATATGAAATGACAAGAAATATGAACCACAGCATATGCTCTAGTAGACGGACAATGAACAGTAACACGACAAGAAATATTCAAGTTAGCCGAAGTACCATCAGAGTAGGTGTAGAGTTGCCCACAATTGTAAGTTGTTCCTGCAGCAGGAAGTTATGATTAAAAAAGATATTGGTAGCAAGCATCAACAACCCTAAACCATCAAAATATCATACCATAAAAAAAGAGAAGAAAAATAGGCTCATAGAGCATAAAATACCTTAGAAAGTTTCACAGTTTTTTAATGTATGTAATAAAAATCTTTATTATCTCCACTGTATTTTATTCTTGCAATGCTCCTCCCAATGTTTTGCAAAAAATATCTCATACACCAAAATATCCATGACTCAACTTTACCAAAGTCATTAATAGTTTTGGTCTATTTGTCAGAACTCTTCTCTAAGGGAAGTAAAATTACTGATAAAGCAAAATTTTCCATCTCACTTTCACTCCAGGACTAAAATCAGAAACATTAAGGCAAAATTGTTATCCAATTATGTGGTCTTTGGATCATAGTATAAGTATCTTAAGAGGTTCTCTCCATGCTTTAAATACGAAAAACTTCAAGAAAATCATATCATGCACGGAGAATAATCAAGTAGGGTGGTGTTTGGACATGAATTGAGTGATATTTGAAAAAAGAAAAAAGTAGTAGTATTTGAAGTTAAGTCGAAAAAGAGTGTAAAATTGTACTTGAAAAAATGTTAAAAGTTTGAAGGAACTTTTTTAGAATAAGGATACTTATTTCGTTTCTGGTTCACTAAACGTATCCACACTCCCGAGCCTTCCGATGCAGGGAGAGAATTAGAAGCATAAGTCAAACAACATTTTAGTGGAAAAAGTTACTTGAACTAACAATTGTACGAACCTGCAGTGTCTCAGGCATCTTCACCTTTTTTCCATTGATAAAATTACACAGGTACATAACACCAGCATTTGCAAGCTCCTGTTATCAACAGTAAGTGCAATACTTAGTACTGAATATCAATCAAGATGACTGGGAAAATAGATATTCGCTACTAGTTCCAGAAACCACATATTAGACCTTTTTGGCTATTAATAATAATGAACAGAATTTGTAGCCTAATAGCTGAAATAACAATTTTTTCAAATTACCTGCTTGCCTTCCAAAGAAAGTAACTTGCCATCCTACAAATTCAAATATAGTTGAGACAAAAAGATCAGTAGGTAGCAGATATTTTATGAAATACAAATGTCAATATATGTTTACATATGGGTATTAGAAATTTGAGAATCCAAAACAAGAGCCT